TAAATTCCTCTTCTATGCAAAGCTACAAAAGTCCAGTCTTTGTATTGTCTTCACAGGTTATGGTTTATGGCTATGCTGAGTCTCTGAGATTCCTTTTTTCTTTTTTTTTTCTTTTTTTTTTAATATATTTTTTTCATTTTTTTGAAATCCTGTAGAGAAGACCCTGCGGACACATCTTTGTGTTTGCAACTTTCTGAATTACATTGCAAAACTGTGCATACAGAATCTGAGAAATAAATACATTCATTACTGCACATACATATTGATACAAAAACAACACTGTCAAATAGTGTTTGCACCATCTTTGTTAGATATTAAGACCAGGCAAAATTAATATTTCATTTTCCATCAGCCCCCCCTCAAATGTTTGAGGTGGCTTTGGTGTAGAAGATGAAAGCTACAAAGGGTCAAGACTAATGATGGGGAGCTTTCTTAAACCTTTTTATTTTTGGCTTCAGCGTTATTTTAGCAAACCATCCTCATTGGTCTTCTTTTAACTGTTCTACCATGCAGATGGACTTAGGTTTCCACCTAGGCAGCCTTAGGAGTTTTGGTTGGGCTCTTTGAGCAGGACTGTAGGGTCTGCAGTGAATCAATCCAGGTTCCCTGAAGGGGGCCCAGAGGAGCCCCAGGCTCGGTCCCAGCCCAGGCTGGAGCTGCTCGGTGCCCCGAGGGCAGGGCCGGCAGCTCTGCCCCGCAAAGCCTCACAGAAGCTGCGTGCCAATAGCTCTTTGGTGTCTTCTGTCAGCTTTGTGGCTCCTGCTAACAGCCCCAAGTGCGCAGAGCTGGGCCTTTGGGGATTTTTTTTGTCAGGAATTTGTTTTTGGAAGTTTTGCAGTAATGGACTGGAAAACAGCCCAGCTCCCCGTGGCTAAAGTTCAGGAGATGTGCTGGGTACAGCAGCTCCCAACATCTTCTAACATCCTTTCTTATCTCTAGAGCTTCCTGCATCTCCCTTTGCCCTCTTGGTTCCCTCAGACTCCTCTGAGGAAGAGGGAGGCTGAAATGCCCCTACAATAGTGCCTGGGTCTCACTCCCAGCAACATCTCTCATGGATTGAAGAAAAAAAAATTCTACATGCCATATTTCTAATTGCCCACCCTCTCCCCACCCTCCCGGAGCAGGGCTGGAATGCAGGCTGGGACACAGATTCCCCCTCCCAAGCTGGGGAACACTGCCTAGCCTTCAGAGACAAACCAATGGAAAAAGCAAAGATTAATTTTGACTGGCCCCTAGATCTGTTGAGGTCTGAAACTGTAAAAGTTTATGTAAACAATGAGATAAATATATTAGTACTTTTCTGAGCCAAGTGAGGTTCCATACTCATTCAAATGTGCTTTGGTTTAAAAAATAGTTTTGTGAATTTGGGTATGAGCTTCTTATTCTTTTATACAACTTTTGCTATTTTATCTTTTTTTTCCTGTTATTCCGAAAACATTCTGGAACTAAGTGACTAAAGCATATACTTAAGCTGCCTGGCCTCTTTTTTTTTTCTTTTTTTTTTTTTTTTTTTTTGTTTCCTTTTAAACTGGTTTTTTCCTCTTGAGGCTCTTTGTGTATTTAAAAAAAAATTTCAAAATAAAATTTAAAAAAAACCAAAAATGCAGCTCCCTCCCCCCCCCCAAAATTCTTAAAATCTTAAATATGAAACTAGTGTTTTGCTTTCTCATTAAAATACAGAAAAATGTTGATACAATACTATGTCGTACAAATGCAGTTGAGTGTTTAGGCCCCAAGCAGGCCTGAAACAGTCCCTGAAGTTTTGAGTATTATTAGTTATTAATTATTACTGTCACAATTTGGAAAACGTTGTTTATACTCAATCTATGGAACACAACTTTACACAGCTATTTGAAAAAAGAACATAATTTCCTTTTGTACAATACTCTTGCTGTACACAGACTTTATGTCGTACTGTTTAAGTGCTGGGGAGGGGATTAAGAAAAAAAAAAAATATGCTCCAAAAAATAGTTTTAAAAAAATAACATTGGGTCCTGAAAGTTCAACATAATTCTCAAGGCTTAAGAAACAAATGAAAGGGGCCTGGGGCAGGGGGAGAAGCTACATCACCCACACACATGTAGAAACGGAATTAAGAGAGGGGAGCAGGGGTTTGCCGGCGGAGGAGCTCCGTGCCTGGGCTGCTCCCGGGCTCGGCTGCCTCGGTCCCCGTCAATGCCGCTGTCCCAAGGTGACTCCCGGCAGCTCCAGCTGCTGTCCCCAGCGCCACTGCAGGGACAGGGAGCTAAACCCGGCTTTGGAATGGGCTCCAGGGGAGCCGGAGCGGGGGCAGCTCCGCCCTGGGTGGCTGCAGGGGAGGCAAAGGCGGGGTGCCAGTGCCCAGAACTCATCTTGCACAGCTGTCCCCGGGCTCTGCTCACATTCCCTCTCAGAGCAAGGTAGATGGCACGGCCTTCCCTGTCCTTCCCAAAGACTATTTTGGGGACATTCTCGGGGGGCGGGGTTGACAAAGAATCAAAGAGAAAATAATTCAATATTATATTCAAAAATGTGGAAGTGCTAAAGACGCTAGAAGCCCACTTAACCCCCGAAAAATAAACAGCGCGTCTGAGCACAATTCGACAAAAGCAAAAGTCCATGCGCCCCTCCGCGCCCCGGGGCTCGCAGGCGTCCGGGAGCGAGCGGACAATGGCACCGGGAGAAGCACAGGGGAGCGGCCGAGAGGGGCGAGTGTTCCCTGTAACGTGACACCAGGCCAAAGCTCAGCGCCTTTGGGTTGTCTATTGCTTGGAGCCTGGATTCCAGTTTCCTCAGTTCAGTCAATTGACCCAAAAACTTCTCATGGACTAGTCTACCTTAAAAAAAACCCAAATAACAAAAAACGAAACAAAACAAAACAAAAAAACCAAGCCAAAAAAACCCCAATAGAAAATGAAGCTTATATTTCTTTGTTTTAGTCAAACATGCTCACTTTTTTCTTTTTTTTTTCTTTTTTGGTCAAAACTTTAAAAAATTGTTCGTTTTGTTTCTTTTTTTTTTTTTTAAAAAAAAGACAAAACGTGAGGTTTGGTAAAACTTACGCATAGAGACTATACTGGTTTGAGTGGAAAAAAAAAAAAAACAAAACACCAAAAACCAACAAATGAAAAAATGCAAGTGTAAACCTTAGTCATTTCAGAAGGGATGATTCTACTGGCTGTGAATTTTTACCACCACAGTCACGGGAGGCTTGAAATAAGCCATAGCTTTCCACAAGGTCACGCCAACAAAGTCAAGGGGGCCAAGAATCAGTGGGCAAAGTTCTCTGTCTTCTCTCCTAAACCAATAGCAGCTGTTGGCTGTGATGTCTTAGGCAGATGTTGCAAGAACATTTTGTTTCTTTTCATTTTTTCTTTTTTTTTTTTTTTTGTGTGCGTGTGTTAAATTGTCTAAAAGGGAGGATATGAAACACTTTGGTTTGCTTTCTCCTCCTCTCCCCCACCTTATTGCACTCTGGATTCTAGTAAATTATAGGCTGCTATGCCCTCACCCTCTGTCCTGCCAGGTGTTTACAGACTGACCCAGATGTGCTGGGGGAGTGGAAGATGAGGGGGACATTTTCCCCTCCCCATAGTATCCAGACTCAATAAACAAAGCTGGAAAGGGCCCAAAAAGCTCAGAGAAGTTTTCTGCTTTTATCTAAAAGTGACTACAGACAGCCAAGAGACTGCAAATTGAGCCAGTCCAAGCAGCCAGCACAGCCTCTAGCTCAGTGTATTTTTTGCTTTGTCTTTGGCCAAGCTTTGCTTTAACATTTCTCTAGTTGACTTTTGATGGAAGGACGGGGTGGTAAAAATCCCTTAACTTTAATTTAGCTTCTACTTTTATACATTTAATTACTTACAATTAAAAAAAAATGCCTAATCTTTCACTAACCATCTTATTGTTCTCATGAATTCAAGAGGTAGCAAAGGTAACAAGTCTGTCCACACAGACTTGCTCTTTAGTGAGGGAGGAAAGCTAAAAACATACACACACACGAAAAATAAAATAAAAAAATAATAAAAAAGTACCTATGGAACTTGTAGCAAGTCCAGCCTACATCAAACCCCCTCCCCACCCACCCACCCTAGAATTAACCTCAGACCTTCCAGTTCAAACATTCACATAAACGTTACAATGGTTTTTCCTTTAATAAAACAAGTACCTCTAAGCAAAGAATATTCATACGAAACTACTAGAAAAGTAAAGACGACCCCCTGCTCACTGAAAGAAATTCCCAGGGCATCCAGTCCCTGTTCAGTCATGGGTAAGGCAAAAGAGGTTTGCATGTTTTATGGGAGAAGGTGGCACGTGGTTATGTGTGCCAAGGACAAAGATCAAAACCAAAATGGGGAGGGATGGTAAGGGAGGCTTCGCCATTTGTTAAATGAAGTACTGGGACTGGTGCAGCCCTGAGAGCTGCTCCTCACCATCGCCAGCCCAGGGGGACAGGGGTGGGCTCCACCACTGCTGTGGCTTTCCCACAGTCTCTGGAGGGACTGCCAACCCTGTGAGATGGTCCACAGATACAGCTTCTGCACTTGAGAATGCTGTTATTTCACAGCTACTTAGGCCACTGAAAAGGTGTATTTTGTTTTTTTTTTTTTAATGGCAAGAATACCCCTACTGAGTTTGGTTTTAAGAGAGGAGATGAGTACAGTGACAGGAACACAGAAAGGAGCAGGGAGGGGGAGCCAGCAGAGACTGAAAGTTCCCCAAGGTCCCCCTACCTGCTCCAGATAAACAATATGGCAATGAAGTCGATGTGTGCAAAAAGAAGAAGCATTTCTTGCCAGGTCATCAAAATTTGAAGGGAGACTGGGACTAAATGCATCAGCTTGGCTGTGGACCTTTCTTTTCTTAAAAAAAGGAAAAAAAATGAACTTTTTTTTTAAATGTTAAAGCTACATTTGTTTAGGCCTCTCATGACTGAACAGAGTATGGGGAGTTGCCCCTTTTTTTTTTTTTCTTTTTTTTTTTTTTAAGCAGCAAGTCTACAGAAAGGTAAATCACTGCGGATGGGCTTGAAGCTCATTCTGGAGTCTTTGGCTTATGTGGGAGAGGTATGCATTCGCAGGTGGCTGATCAGATTGCGCTGCTGGGTGAATTTCCCACCACACAGTTGACATTCGTAAGGTTTTTCTCCTGAGTGGACACGCATATGCTCTGTTAGTCGGTACTGCCGGGTAAAGCGCATCCCACATTCCTCGCAAGCAAAGGGCTTGAGCCCCAGGTGGCTGCGCATGTGCCGTGTCATGGTGCCACGCTGTGTGAACATCTTGCCGCAGATGTTGCAAGGGAAGGGCCGCGTCAGCCAGTGAGTCTTCTCGTGCTGCCGCAGCGTGGCCGGATCCTTGTAGCTCTTCTCACACACCGAACACTTGAAGGGCCGGGACTCCGCAGCGTAGGACTGATTGGGGTTGGACAAATCCTCAGCTTCATCCTTGCTGCCGTATGTGCCTTCCTCCTTGATGTAAAGGTCTTCCTCGGTGTGCGTTTCCACGTGGGCATTGAGCTGCTCAGAGCTCGGGAAGCCTTTGCCACAGGGAATGCAGACATACAGGTTGTCACCATAGGCCACTGGCTCAAACCCCTCCTGCCGGTAGACGTAGTTGGCACTGGTATGGCCGCCGCTCTCGCTCTCGCTCTGGCCACTGTCATCACTGTTCTCCTTACCGTTTTCTACCTCCTCCTTACACGGGTAGGGCAGGTCTGCCCCGTAGGCCCCAGCCAGACTCCTCTCCACAGACTTGGACAAGGGCCCCAGCAGGATACCATTGGGCAGCCCTTCACCCTCGTCCCTGTCTTTGCCCCCTTCTTTTCGGTCAAAGGCGTTGTCTTTCTTGATCCACTCCTTCTTGCGGGACGAGTGCCGGAGGCCCTTGCGCTGGCTGCTCTCTGTCAGTGAGTGGTGGCACTCCTCACTCAGATCCATCTCCATGGGGTCGCTGCTGTCCGCCATGCTGTGGGGGGCTCCGACGCCAGGCTCGTCGAACGATGAGGCACTGTTGGCTGCAGGGGCTGAGGCAGATTGGGGAGAGCCGTGCTGGCTTTCGCTGTGCTGCGTGTCATCGTGGGAGGCTGCGGCAGGGAGCGAGGGGCTTTTTTTGGACAGGTCAAGGCCCAGTTCCTGGTCAGCGGTGCTCCCGTTCGCACTGCTGCTCCCACCGCCGTTCTTGCTGGTTCCCCTGCTTAAGGAGTGACAGTTCTCTTGGTTGGAGCTGCTGATGAAGACCTCGTCATCAGAGAGCTTTCCCTTTGACAGCTCCTTTGAGTGCGAGCCCTTCAACCCCTCATTTGACCCTGAATAGCGAGCTTGGATGACTGAAGCAGTGGAAAGTCTCTGACTCCTGGCAGATCTCCCAACACCAAGGCCACCGGCCTTGCCAGCAAAGGACTTGCCGTTCCGCTTCAGCTTCTTTCTGCAGAGAGCTGCCAGGTCGTGCAGTTGGAGGTAGCTTGCTGCGGTGAGGAGAGCATTAAAGTTCTGTTCACCAGGCTGGTCAGTCGTTAAGAGCTTGCCAGTATAAATAAAGTCCAAGATCTGCCGGAACACGGTGGGGTTCACCATGTCCGTGTCTAAGTTTATCAGGTTGTCATGCAGGACAAGGGATTTGAAATACATGCTGCTGGCTGCCAGGATGTTCTTATGGGCACGAAACAGGGCATTTTCTACCACAATGATCACATCACAGAGGAAACCTTTGGCTCGTTGCTGGTTCAGCTGCAGTAGCAGTTGTTTGGCATGATTTGGCAGTTCCATCTCCACCTTCTCGTCCTCTCACCTTCACCCTACCACCTGAAAAACACGAGGATGAGAGGTGTGAGCGTGCTGTCTCCACTAGAGCAGGTTACATTTAATAGACTGGTTTAACACAGTGCAGACTATGTTAGGCTTGACACTGACTTGGGAGATCTAAGAACATTGAGCCCTGCAAGCTGTGATCCTGCTGGGAATACAGAGAGAAATATTTCTCATGCTAAGACTTGATTCAAATCTTTAAAAAAATCAGATTTGTAATTATCTTTTTACAAAAGTAATTGTCGTTGGCTGGAATCACTATTCAAAAGATATCAGCATGAAAACAATAGTTAGGTACAGAGGAAAGCTCTTCTCTCCTGACACAGACTTGAAGGGAGTATGAGAAGTGAGAAAAAGAGGAAGAAAAGAGAAGCATCTACTTCACTGTCATTTGCATATCTGAGCATGTAAAATAATTAGCATAAACTGCAGCTTCCCTGCTTTAATGTGTAGTTTGTTTCTTGGCCGTTACATGTTGAAATCTTGTAACACCCAGCTGCTCTGGGGTTGAGAAAATGACATGTAGCAACTAAATCCATTGAAGATGGAATTACCCACACTGAGGTGTGAATGGGAAGCCTCCTTAAGAGAATAAAAAGCTGCTTTAAAAACCACTTCCCTGGCTATGTCCATATCCCAATCCATTAACACGTAGGGTTAGAATCAACCCTCAACTGGCTGAAATTCAGGATGCTGAGCTAGCTAAATGTCACCAAATGTCTTCACAAATCTGAAACATTTTTCTCAAGTTAATTTTGTTCTGTCTTTAATTTTTGAATAATTTTGTTTAAAATAATAGAGTTAAGTAGTATATCTCAAGTCACAGTTTCTCTATCCTGAAATACTGTAAAGAGAGGAAAATTGTGGTTACCTGCATATAGTTAATGCATTTCACAAACAGCAGTCATGATGTATTTTAGTTTAGATGTTTATATTGGCCTTCCCAGTAGTATGGACTGGAGGAAACAGCCACATTGAGATATGTCAGAACTAACTGCAGTTGCACATTAGGTAGATATTACAATCAAACCCAGAATTCAATCTGGGATTGCATTTGGGAATCCAAGACAAATTTTTTTTTTCCTTGTTTTTTGGAAGGCTTTTTGGTGCGTATGCGTTTGTTTGAAAGTGCCAACTACTACTTGCATTTATCCATTAAAGTTGATTTAAAATAGTTTCTGAGGTTCAAAAGGAGGAATTAAATACCAAATTAACAACAACCACCATTTAGCCTTCCACTTCCTTTCTTCCTTTCCCAGTTCATCATATTATTGAAACATTTCTCTTATTGAAGGAGAAGCAAGCCATAAATAGAGAAATTAAGAGCTTAAGTTCTCTCTTAAAAACATCGACAGTTAATTTTTTTATTGTTTGTGTGTTCCATTACCACACTCTGTCCCATCAGAGTTCAAATGATGAAGCATCAGACTGCATTATGTTCCCTCTGTGCCAAGTATAGGTACACAACAAAAAGAAATAAGGAGTGATGCAGTTAGTATAAAAAATTGCTTCCCTCAAACCTGATTCTTACTATGTGATGATAAATAGAAAGACTGCATTTGGCAGAAAGGTGGTGAATTTACATCATCCATTTCTGCACAACAGAGAAGTTTTGCTTTATGGAAAAAGCTACCAAAAAGATAAAAAATGAAATATTTCCTCCAGCATTGTTGCTTGACTACCCTGGTACTTTTCCTAACAGATCTGCCAAGCAGGTGCCTCCCTTTTTCCACAGGACACAGCTCTTTGCTTGTTTGCTGGTCAGCCTGGTGCTTGCTTATGCTTTTGGTGGAATTTCTTGGTGGCTCTTCAGTGCAGCAGCACCTAATTTAGCATCCACACAGATCCCTCTGGCTCATCACCCTGACCCACAGCTAAAAAGGCTGCTCTGCTTCCCCATTTGATTTTGTTTCAGCAATGGATGGCAACCCAAGAACACGGTGGATTCACCGCAGTGCCTCTGTGCACATGGACGTTCCCAGAGCTCGATGCCTTTAGAAAGGGTGGCAGCCAAAAGGAGGAAGTACAGGCTTGCCATGGTGCTAGTTCCACCCATAGTGTTTCTGTAATAGAAACTCACCCTGCAGAATCAGAAAAATGTGATAGGACACGGGCTCCTGTCCTCCACTGAACAGTGCTGAGCATTTAAAAACCAAGTTTTGATGTAATTAGTCTGATCAGAGTTGCAGGATGGAGGATGCAGCATGTCTGGTTCTAGTGGATTACTTCCAGAATTGCTGATTAAGGGGAAGAAGCAGCAGCACAGAGGCACAAAATACCCACTTTTATCTAGCCAGGCCAGTAAGAGCCCTTACTTCTGGGTCACTGAGATACATCGATAGGGGAGGACAAAAACATGGCTTGCAACTTAACAGCATCTTGCTATATAAATGCATCCTGCATTTACAGCAAGATACAGCCTAGTACTACAGATAGCAGGAAACAGCCTAGCACTGCAATTTCACTGCAAACATCATGGTGCTTTGCCATGCATGTAACACACAAAATCCCTGGGTGTGATTTTTAAGTGTTCCATAAAGGAACAAATATGGGAAAGGAAGGGAAACAGTATAGCCAATATTTTCTGCCTAAACAAAGTAGTAGTAGTCGTAATAATAATAATATTACTGAAGTTTAAGTAGGCTTATTTCCCATTGATGTAGCACTAAGAGCAGAGGCCTAGAAATCACTGGATTCAAGTTGTCTAAGCCTTAAGGCTTAAAACAGCTATTAATGCAGAATATTTTTAGCATTTTACTTTTTTTTGTTTTACTTTTTTTTTTAACTTTCTGCCTTAAAAGATATTGAAACCAAGTAATGAGCCAGCAGAGAAAGCCCTGGAAACAGAGTTAGAATTCTAATTCTGCTACTGACCTTCATGAGAAAGATAATGTTATTATTACTGAGTATGTTCTGCTGCATAAAAACTAGCATAGTACAAGTTGTTTAAATTACCTCTATTTATCTCACATGTCAAATTTTACAGGACTGTTCATGTTCAGTAGGACATATATATAAGGTAGGCTATTACCTTCAGTAGATTTCAAATGCACTTGTCTAGTGTAAGCAGTATAACCATGCCTTTCAAATTTGAATTTGTTAGCTGAAGTCTAACGCGGATTTAACAACCGCCCAAAAAATGAATGTAATGAATCAAGGCAGCAAAACCTTCAGCCGAGCTTGGAGCATTGTGTTTAAAACATTGTCAGAATTGCCCACCAAGGGCTTTGCCCAGGACAGGAGTATGGCTCAGAGAACACTCCTTTGGCTGATGTCCCTTTGTTGACAAAAGCCTTGTAGCCCTCAACAAAAATAAATCCAGTCCAGATATTTCAGAGAGGTGTCTAGTTACAAACCCCTCTTTGACCATGATGCATTTCAGAGGTGGAGGAGGAAAGGTGTGTTGGAAAAGTTGTTAGCAAAAGAGAAGCAGGCATTATTCCTTAACTTATGGCATTCCTAGAATCTCACTTCTAGCTGAAAGCATGGGACCTAGGACAACTGCGAGTTTAAATCCTGTTTAAAAGTTATTTGCTCAAAGAAATGGCAGGTGCAGCCTTAGAAAGGCCTTGCTATCCATTAGTTTGCAGGGAGTGTCTCTTAACAAACCGTAACATTTGAATAACATCACCACAACCCTCCAAAGCCCTAAAAAATCACAGTGGGTTTATACTTCTTGTATTTCAGTATCATTTTTAATAAGCCTTCCTTTTCTGTTTTTTGGAAAGAAAAAAAAACCAAAACACCAGAAAAAAAATATACTCCCAGTTCAGAGGAGCCCTGGTTCAGAAAAGGCTCAGGTACATTTCTAGTAAAAAACCCAACTCCCCAGACCTCAAGAATACGTAAATGTCTCACTGGGACCACAGTCTTTAAACATTGAATGTGATGTGCAAAATTTCACCCATTTGTAGTTAAAAGAGAATTACAGAAGGCTCTGGACAAATGGCAGCAGTGATGGTCTTTTCCCAGATTCAGCTTGGTTTTCTCACATTCAAGACACTTTTTTCAGAGCAGTGAACCTGCTCAAATACTCCCATGCTAGCAGGGAATGAAACAAGGCTAAGACTCTCCACTACCTCCACCATATCCATGACACTGAGACACAGCACATGCAAAGACATGAGAAGTACAGGGCACAAATCACAGAATACAGTAATGCTGCAAGCAGATGCCACACATCAAACAAAGCTTTGCAAGCTAAGAGCCGACAGCACCTTCATATCCAATACTGCCCCAGGAGCTGGGACCTGCGAGCTGCTGTGCCCAGCCTGGGGCACACCCTGACCCCAGGGGCTCAGCACAACACACAGGCTGCTCCTGGAGCTGTGCTGCTCTCACTACACAGCAGGAAAACTTCATTTGCTCTCTATTTGCACAAAGACTCTGGACACCACAGAAAATGAAACTGCTAATTCAACAGTATAAAATCTACATATTCACTACAGGTTTGATTCTCTTTAATATCACTAAATCTCTACCTAAAAGTAATCGCTGAATGAATGCTAAATGTGTTATCTTAGCAACTTCTGGCAGGAGATGCTCTTTGATTTCATCTCAGAGTTACAGATCGCAGCACATGAATATTGTTTACCTTTTAAGAAGCAACACCAGTGAAGCAAAGAATCAATCATAAACAGATCTAAGGAATCACTCATTTCACGTAGAGGATTTGTGGCTGGATGAGAAGGCTAGACACCAAGCACCTGAACAGTGAGTTAACAGTACTGCAGATAAAAACCAACAAACAGATTAGATGTGATGTATCAAATTAGATGCTGTTAAAACATCAGCCTACTGTGCATGTTATAATAGACCCAGAAAAAGACAGTGGCCTGCTTACTTATTTCTCCACCTTCCCAAGCAGTTGGGCTGCACTGAGCAGACACTGCAGCAGTGAGCATGGGGAAGAACAAGACAAAATGAAATCCACTGTTTCCCACATAGCTCTCTCACACCAATTTGACATTAAAAATGCTGTGTCCAGCTGCTACTGGAACTGAGTGAAACTGGAACAGATGACTTCTGCACCCTTCAGTCTCAGATGAACCAACTTTTTTTTGAGCACTTAATGACCCCACTGGGAAGAGAGCTTTCCTGTTCCCCACTGGCTTATCTGATCATCTTTTCCCCACATCCCAACAGAGCCAGGACCCTCAGAGGTGTCAGTGTAGTGGGTGCTTCACAGCCGCTAACCTGCCCCCAGGAGTTGCATTTGGCAGGTCATTAGCCCATGACTTTTAAAGATATTCACATTCTAGAACAGAAGAAGCATGGGGAGAAGTGCTGGAACTGTGTTAGTCCAAATGGTTCCCTATCCCCAGCCCCTTGGAGCAGTCAGCAGAATTCAGAAGCTGAGGCACAAACATGCATTTTCATCACTGGCAGTGGAGCAGCAAAAGCTCTGTGAAGAAGGCTCAAGCAGAAAACAGGATGCAGCACCCTTGTTTTTCTCACACAAATATTTAGCACTTTAAAATAGCTAAGACCAACATGTGAAGGTACTCAGGCAGAGGTCTGCAGAGCTGGGGGAGGGAGAGAAAACATGCAGGACAGATCAGGATGTGCAGCTGATTTTGCAGGTGTGGGCATGGAAAGGAGAAGGAAAATGGAGGATGGAGGATCATTTTGCAGAGGATACCACATCAGCAAACTGAAAGTGGCCCTTGTTTAATTTGTTACATTCCAATTAGTGCCAGGCAGAACTGCCCTCCTGGCTCCCCGAGGCAGCTCTTGCAGGACTCCTGCAGAAATGGCACAGCTTTGCTTAGGGACATGAGCACCTGTCTGGTACCTCTGTGCGGCAACATTTGGATATTTGGGACGTGGGCAATACCTGCTCAACTGCTACCAGCTCCTGGCCCAAAAAGGAGAGGAAAAAAAAGAGTGAGATGATTTTCCAGTCCCTTCTCTCATGTTCTAGAAGAACAAGGAGAGCCTGACATGGCTAGGCCCTTCTCTACTGCATGGCAAACTTCCCAGGGAAGGGGAATCTCCGTGGGTGAAAAGGGAAGGGGCTCTGTGTGCATGAAAGCACTAAAATCAGGAGAGCAAAGTGATTTCCAGTCAGTGCAAGGCTGCAGCAAAGCAGGAACACCCTGCTATACAAGCTGAAACTGTGAGCAGTAGAATGCAGATTTAACCACTTGGTTGCCGCTTACCATGCCAGGTACATTGGGCTAAAGGCACCTCCATCCAGTGCTGCCCGACGTGCCAGGTACATCCCATGATGTTCCATTGAAATCACAACAGGCCATCAATAGAACGTGGCTGCACGGATGCAGAATGGAGAACCAGCAGGGACGCTGTTAAATGCAATTAAAATACTGCAATCAAAATTGAAACGTACATTTTAATACAGCCACCTGCTTTAAATATGTAACTGCTAGAACAACCTCCCCTCCACCCATCTCCCACAGCTGGTGAACTGTGACGGAGGCAGAACAGGACTCTGCAAGTTTCTTACTGATGCTCCCTGGCCACTTGTGTTCATGACTCCCGAGAGCACTGAGCTTCAGGGGGACCAGTTCACATGTATCCAAAACCAGCAGATCCCAGGATGCACCAGCTTCCTTCTGCCCAGAAATTCAGGCAATGAAATATCATCACCATGCAGAAATGCCTCTCTGACAAGAACAGCCTGGTGCCAGAGCTTTTGGTCTCATTCCCAACACAGTACAGCAGAAGAAACACTTCAAACCTGATCCACTGTGTTGTCCCCATTTCCCTGTCCCACTTCCCAAGCCTTTGAAAATATCTTCTAGAGATGTTATGGCATTGGACCAGGCTGGATACTTTGGTGCAAGGTGGGAGAAGACGACACTGTGTACCCTCTCCTATTTATAATGATGCTTCAGTGATAATTTAATCTCCATTCTTGGAGACTGGAGATCAAGTTGATTCATGGTGAACTGCAGCTTGTATGCGCATCGCAAAACTTAAGGTCTGTAATTCCATCCCCCCTGCCCAAAGAAAAAAGCAACATCATCTTTTCCATGTCAGGGAGAGGCACATAGCACAGCTACCCCAGGTTTGACAGGCTGGTTGTATCCTCTGCAGTGCATCTCCTTCCCATGGAGTTCCTGTAATCAGCTCCAGCGGGATTATCATGGAGCAGTCTCAGGGTAGATGCTAAGAACAGGTTCCTTTCTACAAGTGGTGATGCTGCCCCAGTGAAAACAAACAAACAAAGCCCAAACCCACCAAAAACCAGTACAGAAATAAGCCTGCAGCCTGGTAGAGATTTAACATGGGTTCTTGGACCCTGATGGTAAAGTGAAACATGTGCATAGCTTTTATCACATTGATGGCTGCATGTCTCCAGCTGTGTTTCTGGAGATAGAAATCTTACATTTAAAAAGTGAGAATACTATTGATTATCAGCCTTAAAAGATAAAAGGCCAAATGAAAAAGACCTATAATATTTAATGTTGAATGAAAGAGAGCATGAAGGAGGACACAGGCCTGAGAAATGGAATGGGTTGTTATACAAGGACAGAGTATAAGAAGATAGTTCATTCTTCCTGAACATCTGCTGGGCTTAGGCCCAGGACAGTGTTCCCATCATTCCCACCTGCATACTTATCCCCACAACTCTGTAACCAAACCCCTTTCTCACTGAAATAATAGATCTTTTGTATTCAGATCACCCTGTTTTGACTGCTGTAGGCTGAAGATTTTTAAATCTTGTCAATTCAATGAAGAAGTGAAATGTAAGCAACTGTTTGCCTACTGACCTGGGCTGTGCTCAGCCAAGAGCATTTGCTGAACTAGTCTGAGCAGACCACTGCCAGCATGAACAGGCCAACCCACAGTTAACTACCACACTTGAAGCACCCTGGGCCAGAGCTCCAGGAATTTGGAGCTCCCCCCTCTCCAGAAGATCATGCTGTGGACAGCATTAGAGCAAGCTGAACTCTGGCACAATCTCCCAGCATCTCAACCATAAGCAATACCAGTAATTCTCAGTTTAACAGAGGCTGAATGCTGCATAAAGGTATTTCTTGAACAGCAGCTCAAACATGAGATTTTTCCCACCCAGATTACATCAATTTGCTTCTTGCCACTGTGAAGCAAGAGCTCTTCTCCATAGTTGTATTCCCCTCTAGGGCAGAGTTTAGCAGAGAACTGCTCCAACCAAAGGTGTTTCCTACTGTTAGAACATCTCACTGCAGTCAGAAATGAAGCTTCCTGCCAACTCCTAAACAGAGTGCTTGTATATTATACATTTATTGTCACTGCTGACACATAGGAGACTAGGACTACCCAAACCTCTACTGGGAGGAGAAGGGGAGAGGCATGGACATTGCAGATCTTGTCAGCCAGAGTCCAGAATTAAAAACTCCTGCATATCCACAGAGCACAGTTGATCTCAGGAGCAGAGCAGTGACACAAAACTAAGCTTCAGAAGCTCATGACCACTTAGTAACCAGCAGTAGACTCTGGGCTCTTCTTCTCATCCTACAACTGAGCAAACTCAGTTTTAGTTGTACCTGCATTGCAAGTAGTAAAGGCAACTCCAATGTCCAATGCTAATCTCATTTAATTCATTTATTTACTCCCTATTGCATGAAAATAACAACAACAACATATTGGATGAAGTATCTCAAATGCCCCTTTGGTATGCAAAATTTCTGTTTCCCAGCCACCTCTGAGCCTGTACAGAATTCTCCCTTTACAATGCAAGAATTTAGGACATGAATAAAGGATCGTTGCTACCTCCCAGTTAATCCTAGAGAGTGCCAGTCTTAGGCCCTGTCCTTCAGTAAGGTGGCCACTGGCAGGGGGTGCATGGGGTGCCAGCCTCATGCTGAGCATCGCTCTGAGGGCAGCAGCACACCCAGCACTGTGGAGAAGGAGGAATGTCATGACCCTCTTCCAACCAAGACTGTCCTACAGGACACTCCCAGCTGCAGCACTGCTTTAGGGCTCTGAGTCACCCCAGGTACAAGCTGATAGCAGGTTGTGAAATGCAGTAGTACTGGAGCAAATGCATTACCCTTTCAACTGTCCCTGCAGCTGGGGAGGGATCTCCAGGACAGGGATGAGGCAGGCAGCTGGAACTAGTGACTGTGACTCAGACTCCTTAGTTACACGATTTGTTAGAGCAAACAAAGCCTCAGAGCACAGGAAAAATGGGAACAAGTTTGGTAAAGATCCTCCTCCCAATCGGCCTGTTTATTCTCATTTCTTGTGTGGACTCAGCAAACGTTTCTGCAGAGAGGAGCAGTCTGCACAGGAGCATCTGCACACACAATACTGCTAATATCATGAGGTGCAATAGTTAGCAGCAAGTGTCCATGCTGAGGGGTGTAGTGACTGTCTGGGACCAAAATGTCATCTCTCTCACCATAAGCCAGAGCAGTGGTGAGCACAGTGTGCACAAAACAAGCACTGCTGTCTTTTTTTTTTCCAATGAGAAAAAAATCTCATTCTCTTTACTCATATCTATAGATACAGCAACAGTTCTTAATATGAATGATACCTTAAAAATAGCACTTTTAGCACTTAGCCACATTCTTTTTTCTTTGCTTTTCCCCCAAAACTGACCATACACAGGCCTGTACTTAGCAAAGAAATCTTTTTAAGTTTCACTTTGGTGAGTCTTTTAATCAAACCACTCTAAGAATTGGTCCCAGCAGCATTAGGACTGTGCTGCCTACCAAACATCCCTCCAAGTCAGATACTTAACCCATCACCCTGAATCCTTTGTATTTGATTCCTTGCAGCCACCAAGAAGTCTCAGCACATCTGAGCCTGGCAATTGAGAGAAGGCCAGAAAGCCACTATTGCTTGTAAAAGCAGAAGGCCTAACAGACTCAAAGTTCTACAAAATGCCTGTATTGCATCCAAATGACCTAATGGGAAAGCAGAGTTTACTCACTTGCAAAATTCCTCATTTCTTTGGCTGCTTTTCCTCAACCCCTACTTCTTATTTTGACTGTTTTATTCCTCTGTCTTCTTCATTTGAGACTTCAAGCATTATTTAAACTCAGCTCACAGACTGCAGGGAGGTCACTCTATGTATGTTTCCAAAATCCACCTTTTCCCAGCAAGGCTCCCATCTTGCTGCTTTGTCCTGCAGCCCTGCACAGCAGTGGTCCAGGGCTGCAGACACCTGGGGCACATTTGGCCAGCCCTCCCTGACAGACAGCTTCTCAGCCTGGGGGATTACAGCCCCAGGCTCGTTATGAAAGGCAGCCCAGCAAGGTCATGGGGTGTTGAAAACTTTGCTACAGTCCAAAGCACAGGATCTGCCTCCTTTCCTTCCCTGCACACTATTCTGGTCAAGGCCAAGGATTTCCTGGCAGTCCTCAAAGTACACAAATTATAGCCTTTTGTCATGAATTAGGACTTAAAACTTCTCTTCATTTTAAGAAAGTAGAAGGGGTGGAGCAAAGCAGGGGGAAACATACTTTTGCCTAAGATTCAGTTTTGAAAAAGGGATTGACAGCCTATGTGTGTGCTTTATCCTGTAATCTGAAAGCTCCTCAGGACAGGACCCTTAAAAGTATTTTATGCTGAACCATATACAGAGCAAGGGAACTGGCAGCTCCCTGCATCCGTTCCAGTCTGCTCAGCTTCTCCTAAATCAACACTGCCAGAAGGCAAGACAGCCCTATAACAAATTAGCACTGCTCACAATTTGTTGAAGTTGCTGTTGCATTGTTTGTTTATTTAAAACACACGCAAGCACACGCACACACACACACAAACCTCCCGAGCCTGCTCTCTGCTGCCATCCCCCAAACTCCAGATCTGCAGGCTCAGAGAGCCAAGCAAAGGCTGTGGATTAAAGCCATGCAGAGCTACAGCCACTGTGCTGGGACTCTGCTTGGATTTTGCTCTTTCACTACAAGCAAAACCAAAGAATGCCCACATTATTCCAGCCTGGAACATCATGCCGTAGAAATCCTTATTTCAGCACCTGAATAGGGAAGTGTTGTTAAGAGAAAGAAAGAGCCACAGGCTTGAAAGGACCCAGTGCTAATAAAACTCTTAGTGCTAATGCTATTTATGAACATCCAAGGGATAATCTGCACCCCTTATCAGCCCACAAGATTATAAGATCTTTAAAATAGGAAACATGTCTTACTTCATAAAGCACTATATAAGTTTACAAAGCACAATATTAGTGGTAATAAATAATTGTCAAAGTCGAGCACAGAGGTGGCTGTAAAACCTGAAGCACCATCCCTGTTCCCATTTCATTCTGAGCTCTGTGTAGCAGCACATTCTTGCCTAAGAATGTACAGTGCTACTTGTATAGCACAGTGCATGCTTGTGCTGACTTGGTCTCTTATGC